TGTGTAAGTTTAAAAGGACAAATGTAGCAAAAGTTTTATTTGCTTTTGTGAAAATTATTGTTATTCCAAAGAATAGATTGCAGATAGACTATCATTTTTAAATATATGTTTTTCCTCTTGATGATTAAATGTATATATTGTCTTGGGATATTTGTGTAAATTAGTCCTCCTTTCAGCTAATATTACTTGTTTCTTTCCAGTCCCATCTATTTGTGCTACAGTTGGTGCACAGACCAAGTGTCAGGTCAGTCCTACAAGGCCTCTTACGGAAGAGGATGTTACCTGCTGAACACTGTGTTACGAAAATCAAGAGAAACTTTAACTCTGTGGCAGCCACAAGTGGTACATTAAATAATTCTGAAGGTGATGGAGTAGAACAAACTGCGATCAAAATCTCCCTAAAGTGTCCCATTACATTCAAGAGGATAACACTACCAGCAAGAGGCCATGACTGCAAACATATACAATGTTTTGATCTTGAGTCGTACCTTCAGATGAACTGTGAAAGAGGAGCATGGCGATGCCCAGTCTGCAAGTAAGTATTGCTACTATTTCTAGAATAGATTTATTATCCTGTGTTATAGGTGTTAAAAGTTGTGGTAAAGTGCAAACATTTAACATTAATATTTTTGTTATTTTCCAGCAAAACTGCATATTTGGAGGGACTGGAAGTTGACCAGTATATATGGGGTATTATTACTACCCAGCAAAATGCCAATTCTCCTGTTGATGAGGTTACTATGGATTCATCAGCATCATGGAGAGCCATGCATGGTTCAGGCATGCCTGGTACTCCAGGAGTTAAAGATGAGGATTCAGACACATGTATGAAGCGGTGGAACAAAGCCATGTCTCCAGGAAGTATGACTCTGCCTACCATGAGTAACATTGATATGGGGCAGTCCATGAGTCCATATGTACCTCCTGACATGAACAGTAAGTGTATATAGTCATCACCAGTCTTTGTATTTTGAATTTATCATTGTTTATTGTCATTATTGCAATAATATTCCTGAAGTGACAAAATTATTGGTATTGGTGACACTTTAGCCCAGGATGAGCATATATCTAAGACATTTCATTCCCTTCCAGGCATTAACAATGGTTCTATGATGAACATGATGGGCATGGGAAGCAGTGGTAGCAGTGGACCTGGCATGTCTAGATCCACGTCTCAGTTTGACCTCAGCTCACCTGATTTCACGAGTGGCGGTGGCCCACTCTCGCAGCTGAGTGAGTCTGTCAACAAAATGGATCCCCTCGGAGCCATGGAAAAGTCAGTCAAGGACCAAATGGTTCCTCAGATGGGACCACCTCCACCAACCTCCTCCACCACTACCTCCACTTCCACAATGGCTGCTCCAACAGCAGCATCAACCACCACCACCACATCTTCCTCATCCTCTTCACAACCACTATGTTCTACCACCACTGCCACAACCACAACACCTACCACTCCAGCATCATCAACAACACAGGTAACCATCATTAAATTTTGTTGAAGAAAAATTCAGCTTAAAATCTGGAAACTAAATAAAGGACTACATTTTTCAGTTATAGATATTTACAGCCATTTAATCAACTCATCTCTTCACAGCCAAATGTAAGCAGTGGGCAAGGAATGCCTCATACTCCGCACACACCACACACTCCTCACACGCCACATACTCCAGGAGGAGCTGGCGGTCCTCCTAGTGTCCCCTCTGCAAGTAAGTACATCAGCTTTTTATTGAGAAATAAAATGTGTTTATATATAGATATGTATATATGTGTTGTTAATGTTTCTTTTTTCCCTGTATACTGCTTTTGTACTTTATTGAAGTGTTAAATAATGATTTCAGTAAATGTTAAAATATGAAATGGAAAGCATATCCTTTTGATTGAAGGCTGCCTTTAAGTATTATTTTAAAACAAGGAAGAATTTTTGAAAAGACAAATAGTAAATAAATGAATAAACAAGGAAAAATAAATAAAGAATAGATAAAGAATAAATAACTAACAAAGATCCATCATTTTCACTTGCACCCATATGGGAAAGTCTTCCTAACAGGGTAGTCTTTACAAGGAGGTAGCCTTAAAAAACAGTTTAAGTATAAAGTACAATGTTAATTTAGATGTAAAGAATAATGTGTATTATTCAGGGTATGACTACCAGGTGTTAGTTTTTAATGGAACACAGCTTGATTGTTTAATTAAGATATAAATGCATATAGTGCAGCTGAAAATTAATTATTGTATCATTTTGGGTTTTAAATATTAACACCTATTCAAAGGCTTATGCATTTTAACATTCTTTATGAACTCCAGAGCTTTTGATGTTGTCACAGTTTTTAACAAAATTCCTTTATTCTTCAGGTACTTGCAGCAACACATGTAACAGCAGCAGTACCAACAATACCAACACCAACAGCACCAGCAACAGTACTACCACAGAGACACATAACACTTGTAATGAGATGACCGACCTTCCCACACTTAGTTTTGACCCCTTAGATGGTGATGGGTCAGGCCAGGATGGAATTGATGTCAGTGTAAGTATTCTGTTTTCTGTTGCCATGATTTTTATTGTCTGTATTTATAGATTTGGTGTTTGGTGTGGTTCTTAATTCTGAGGTACAGTAAGAGTAGTTTTTATTATTGCTTTAGATATTTTATGACTACAGTTGCATTTCCAACAGTACAACCTTGTTTTTGTCCTTTATATTATTTTTTGTTTTCTTTTTTTCCTTTTTACTCATAACTTTGTCAAGATTAATCCATATTTCACTTTGAAAAATCAGAAGTTGCACAGATGCAATACTTTTTTATGATAGTGATCAGTATGAAGAGCCACCATTAAGCAAACTTCATATTAACTCCATATCTCTCTTTCACAGGTCTTCAACAGTGGAGTAGACCCTATGGACCCACTGGAATTATTATCGTACTTAGAACAACCAGACTACAACACTCCGCCCTCCTCTGGCGCATCCTCACAAGGTCAGGGAGCAGGGAACACGCCTGCCGGTGCTGGACTATCTGCTGCCCCCGACACAGACGATATATTGGCACTGTTTGAGTAGTATATAATGAAGAGACTATAGTGTCAATACGGATAGAATTCAGGTGCTTGACTATATGATTAAAAGTGTTTGTGATCACGTTAGACTACAGTCAGAACATGAAACAGTCATGATTTTTTAGAAGTGAGCAAACAGAAGAACTGTGATACTCAAACTGGATTTGAGAGAAACTTTAGTGCATTTGCAGTCGTCTCAGTGGAATGTATTTCACAGTCTTCATTCAAGAGAGAAATATAATGGGTAATCAAGTAAACAGTGAGACCAATGATACATGTTTGATGTGGTGTGTAAGCACAGTTTGACGCACATCTGGACAGGGAGTCATGCTGCAAGAATTAGCACAAGGATGTGTAGAAAAAGATACAGCTCGGATTATATGATTATTTTGTAGTCAGACCATACTGATGCATATTCACTGATGCATATTCTGATATGTAGAAATGACCAGTGTGATGGTGCAAATCATTTTAATGACCATTTGTAAAGCACAGGTTCCTCAAACTGTGTTTTATACTTGTAACACAGAATATATCCATATGCCAGGGTCTGTCAGAGGAGAGGATGTATTCCAAAGTAGCAAAAAAGTCCTTTTCATGTTTAACCCCAATGGGCTCCATGACGGTTACCCCAGTGAGTAGTTAGGTTGACAAGTTTAGTAGGATAATTATTGTGGCTATGCAAAGATGTCCACAGTAGTGTTGTTCAAAATCAATCATGACATCAAAATGACAATGTGCATAATATTGTCTTAATTAGGAACTTGCAATTTTAGTCCATGTTTATTGTTTTGAGTTTTAGAACCTCAACAATAACATGAAGTAAAGCATGTATCTCCGTAGGTCCCCAGTCGCATGTAAATAAAAACTCTCAAAAGACCAAAATGAGAGTGTGAAGAAGTCTGAATCATTCTGAATGATTGTCACATCATTATTGAGAGGCTCTTAATTAAGTTGACATATTCAGAAGATAGGGGAGGGAGGGTGCATTTTGTGCAACTGCGAATGAGTCCCAAGAAATTTCTCTGAGTGTTGTTGTGAATGCAGTGTGATATTTCTGGCTGCACAGGTTTATGGGTGGTTTACTGTCTAGACGAATTATTGCATTTATTTATAGGGTAATCCCGTGTGCCTGTCAGCCTAATATGTGTAAATAGCTGTGTACAGAAATGTTCTTTTATTTATCTCACCTGGTCTCGCCCTTAGAGTCCTACGCATTGTCTAAGCTTTAATCCCTAGCTCTGTCTTCACCCACATGACCTGTAGGATACACGATCACATACAGTACACCACCGCAATTATTGACTCCTACCCACCACCCTGGTGAACTTTGGTGTTGGTTTGCTGTGGGTCGGTGGAGTCAAAACCTCAACCTGGCTATTATAGCGACTTTGGTTTCAGAAGATATGACCTCATTTTGTGTCAGCATTTTTATAAACATATGTATATTACATGTATTTTTTTCTTTCTTATTTATTATTATTATTTATTATGATTTTTTTTTTTACATTTCATCATTATGATTTTTTTCTTCATCTCTGACACTTGAGTGCATCTTAAATCCTCATTCAAACTGTGTTCCTATCTATGATTAAGATTACATTATGATTCTTAGAAAGCAAACATTTTTTTCTGAAATCAAAGTCTCCAGGCTTCATGCATACTCTGTTGACCGTCAGTGTAATGAAGCTTAAATGAAATGTTTAATTTTTATGAAAATAGATTTATGCACTTATACAGAATCACTGAAAGTGTTTTTATGTACTGTGTACAAAGAAAAATGGTTTAACATTATGATCTCAAGATTGTCATTTTTAAAGTTATTTAGAGGAATTCATACAATGGATTTTTAAACAGTTAGTGACTGTCAAAGAGTTTGTGTAAGCCATCACTTCTCATGTAAACTGTACCAGAGAACTTAAAAGATAGTTTCTAACTCAGACAGCTTGTTTTATTTTTTCCCTAAACCAACTGGAGTAAACTTTTAGTAAAAAAAAATCTCCCTTTTTACAAATCCAAAATCTGGTCAGGAGCTGGACTATATTTTTATAAGGCTTCAAGTATATTTGGTACATTTATGAAAGTGAATATCTATATTTTGATTTAAACCATATAATTCTGGTATATATTTTTGTTGTTGTTTTATACATATTTTTTTACATTTTCTCCCACGTATCTTCTTTCAGAAATGACAAAATAAACTACATCTGTCTACTAAAATGACAAAATGAAAAATAAAAAAATCACGTATGTCGTGAATTTACATAATTTCTTTAGTTATCTGGTATGAGGCATGCCCATTAATTCCAGAATGTGTGTTGTTGGATTATCTTCCTGTTTTGTCGCTTGGTGTTTTGAAAAATTTAAGTGGATAACGGGTGTGAAAACAGGTAACATCGACAAATAGCTAACTTGCCGAGGAGAGAAAAAAAAACATGATTTATACATTAAAAATGAGTAATTCACAAATAACAGCAACTCGACTTTCCCTGAGCCTTACTATAAATGTGACGATACTCCGCATATTAGCACAATGGCGTTTCTGTACATTAATAACCATGCATTATTATCGCGCACAATAGTGACATGTTATTGATCACGTAGGTATGTATACATTTTTTTTGTGAAAGTGAGTTAAATGATTTGAGTAAATTATTCGCTCCAGTACTCCTACTATTATTTATGTTATTTGAATCTTTTCTTCTTCTTATATCTTTTTTCTGATTTTAAATCCTCTATTTATATAGATTCTACACAGGTATACTGATAGTTATGATTGGCGTTGTGTTCCTCTTTACATCTATCTGCATACATACATATTCTGCTATATTCGAAGAGTATTTCATCATTCTCTCTTGGTCTTGTCTACTAGTGTGAATTATAGACGAAGTATAAAAAGAACTTATCGATTAATAAGTCATAATTAAGTTCAGAGCGAAAACTTGCGTTTTGTGTTCTTTTGGGTTCTTCATCAAGATATGTGACATTTATTTATATTGCTATATACAGTTTCTATTTTTATAGCTTTAGTTTCTTATGCGCTGCTGCAAGTAGAACTCTTCTATTATCAGTCTCACTTAGCCATGTTGACTTATATGTATATTTCTTTCTCTTTTATTGTTCGATTAAAGCATTCTCTCTCAACTTACTTCTGTGTTTTTCTTTTTTCTTTCCCATTTTACTTTAAACCTTGGTACTGATGACAGATGTATGTATATATTATATGTAAAGTATTGCATTGTTTAGATTACATTGTTTTGCTTGCCTTTCCATTCTTTTATACTATACTTTGCGATAGATTTTCTGTTTCTTTAATTCTCACTCTCAATAGCCTTGTTTTTTACTTATTATGTTATTTTCTGTCATCTGTTGCTGATATGAAGACATGTCATCCAATATCTCTCGGTCTTCCTTCTGCATCTCACTTTGTGTCTTTTCCTCTCTGTGAAAATATCGCGTGTTTATCATAAACATTGTTTTATTGTTCATGTGTTCTTATTTTTTTCCTTCATTACTTTTTTTCTCTCTTCCATACTTTATAACATGAGTAAAGCTATATGTTCATGGTCATGGCACTCCATCGTATTTCTCTGAATCACCTATCTCCGTCTATACTTGCCTTATGTTGTAGATGAAACATTTTGGGCTTAATTGTTCCTTTAAATACTTTTTCTTCTATCTTCTCTCTAATCTTATTCGACTGACTGTATCCTTATTCTAATAACAACCCTCCCCTAACTAGACATCCTTGCTTTTGTGTTCCTTTTCATTTTCTTCGGTTGTACTCTCTAATTTCTCGCACGCTTATACCAATCATAAGTCGATACCCTGCCGACTTCCTGCGCACTCGCTCCGAAAAGAACCGCGCTGATAAGAACCGGAATAAGAGAAAGCCGATTCTGGCCATACATAAATAAAATGTTGCCCCGGTATGGGTCGCCACTCTGGGCACGGCGAATGCAGGACCTGACAGATGGAACGCTGCCCGTACCCCGTCCGTGACCGACGCGAGCGCCTCAGAGGTGCTGAAGGGAAGGATCACGACTCGCACGCGGAAGCTGGAGCCGAAGAGACAAGCATCTCGAACGGTCGATCACAAGGAAGAGAGTGGCGGAGATCATCACTAAGCTCGACGGATTCAATCTCGCGACCACCGCCCGGAGAGCTGAGGGTGAAGTATAGTCATCGATCGGACTCCCTGAGATACGGCGGTCGCCCGAGGCACATCTGATCGACACCAGAGACGGGTGGACCAGCATGCGATTAATGACGACGCGTTGTCGACCAGGAGATCTGATCACTGAAAAAAAGGATCAATAAAGAGGACGTGATGTCGTGACCCATGAGACCGGACGAGAACCCCTAGCGACCCTCTCTTCCCCTGACAGTTCCCGCCTCCTCCCCTGAGCCTTATCCCCGCTACTTCCACTAGCTTCTAGACT